CCTGTGTATCCCCGGCACCAGCTCTCCCTCCCCCAGTTCCCCCACCGTTCACCCCGCCCTTTTCTGGCATCATGCGGGTCCTCAACTGCGACATCTTCCTCCACATACTTCGGGTGGTACTCCAGAGGGCAGCAGAGGACCGTGCCGACCAGTGGACAGAGGCCATGATCCAGAGGGTGCGGCCTGTAGCATTCTGCCACATCTTTACCACTGTATTTGGATCCACACATTAAAATCGTACATAAGGAGTGACAGGTGGAAAGAGATCAAAGAATACATGTGGGTCTTGCAGGCCCTGCACCTAATTGGCCAAGCTCTGCTAGAGGAGAAGACTCAGCTGGAGGCCAGCAGTGAGGATGAGGTGGCTTTTGACTTCAGCCTCAAAGCCCGGGGTAAGTTTCTTACTGTGGTATGAATGCTGCTCCTATCATGTCTCAAATAGTCAGTTAGAACGGCATTTCCCAACCCGGTCCTCAGAGACCCCCAGATAGTCCATGTTTTTGCTCCTACCGAGAGCTTGGAGGGAGCAAAAATGGACTGTCTGGGAGGGATTTAAAATGTGGACTGTCTGGAGATCCCTGAGGACCGGGTTGGGTAACACTCCTCTAATGGATCATCTGGACAGATGGACCAATAACAGCTACCCCTCTAGAACCAGGAGGTGGCCCCATGGGTTGACGTTGAATGTTAGAAGGTGACAGGCAAGAATATCGTCTCTGTTACCCACTACTGTTTGGGTTCCTTCTCCCAGGATCTGGCTGTGAGCACGGCAACTCTCTGTTCCAGTTCCTCACCAAGCTGAAGAACCTTTGTTCCCTGGAGGCCCAGAAGGACATGATCCAGTGGACCCTGCAGGTAAGGGGAAAAGATACCAGTCGGATCCCATTCAGAGTGGCAGTCGTGTTTTGATCGCTGTCATTTCTAACGTAGATGTTTGAGACCATCAAGCGCCTGCGTGAGAAGTCCAGCCCTGCCGCTCCCACCAGTATGGAGCAGACTAAAACAGAAGAGGTAAGTGGGACCTTTTGTATGATTAAGGGTCATATTTGTGTTATGTCGGGGTGGGGGGGCTGTTCCTGGAGACCGACAGTCTCCCTCCCTCCCGCAGAGTGTCCAGAACAAGAAGGCCGAGCAGAAGAGGAAGGCCGAGGCCGCCAAGCACCGTCAGAAGATCATGGACCGGATGTCAGTCATGCAGAAGAACTTCATCGAGACACACAAGATGCTATATGACAACTTGCCAGAAAGTGGGGTGCAAGGGGAACCATCCCCCTCCATGGACAGGTGGGGGGGAGCCGCTGACTCACAGGGCTTGGTCTGCCGGTGGGGGGAGCCGCTGACTCACAGGGCTTGGTCTGCCGGTGGGGGGAGCTGCTGACTCACAGGGCTTGGTCTGCAGGTGGTGACAAGACCCACGTATTCGTTCTCACATTTGATTATATTTTATCATGCTTCCTTAATGGCCTGTGTGCTGACCTACTCTTCTGTCACCTATAACCTATTGATTATCTGCGCCTGCTTTCCTCCTGCCCCCAGCAGCTCCATGGAGCTGAGCGAGTCTTGCATAGCGGTGGGGCCGCATCGGGGCGTGGCCTGCGTGGAACGGGAGGTGCTGACCTGCATCCTGTGCCAGGAGGAGCAGGAAGTAAAGGCCCGTGGGCCGGCCATGGTGCTGGCAGCGTGTGTGCAGCGCTCCGCTGTCCTCACCCAGACCCGGGGCAAAGGCCTGCCCAGCTCAGGTCAGCCTTGTTTCTGCCGCACTCTGTAAGCATCAGTCATCCCAAAACCTGGTGGATAGGAATGGGATGCAAAAAAAATTGCACCCTATATGGCAGAATGACCTAAGCTGTAAATGGAAATGATAGATATCTTGCTGAGCTGGCCACGTGCTGTTTGTGTGTAACAGATAGCTTCGACCCGCTGTTCATGCACCCCGACCTGGCTGTGGGGACGCACACGGGGAGCTGTGGTCATGTGATGCATGCAGCCTGCTGGCAGAAGTAAGTCTGCCACACTCCCCCAAAGTGCTATGAGAAGTCGTCTTCAAGGATTGTTTGTGAAATTGCGTGTGGGTGTTTCTGACAGATATTTCGAAGCGGTTCAGAACGTCACCCGTAACCGCCTCCACACAGAGTCCATCATTGACCTGGAGAATGGGGAATACATGTGTCCCCTGTGCAAGTCACTCTGTAATACTGTCATTCCGCTGATCCCACTGGAGCCATTCCCCCTCAACAAGTAGGTATCTTCCTGATAGCAGAGGACCAGAGTCCCCCCTTCCGAATTAACACCCCTGGTTAGGACATGATAACAGTTCTGCTGCAGTTATAAAGATGCTGTTAGCCAGGTGTAGTTCATTGCTGCTGATATCCACGTAGCGTTTATCATGGAGGTGAAGGTTCAGACCCTGGGCTGGTTGCTGGGTTTGAAGCTCCTTCGTCTTCCCGTTCCTGCAGTGAGAGTGCGCAGCTGGTTGGCCAGGTCCTCACGCTGCCCTGCTGGACCCGGATCATCATGGCCAGAGTGAATGGACTGAAGGCAGCTGGCCAAGATGGTGGTACGATCACCACATTGGAAGCTTTCTCTGTCGCCTATTTGTGATCCTGGACACCAGTCTGTTTGTCTCTTTGCCGAAATAGGCGGCGGCAGCAGTGTGGCAGAGCTTGTTCTTGGCGGGGACGAACACATGGACTCCTTGTCCATCTTGAGTTTCGGCGTCCAGGCCTCGTAAGTCCAGCCACCATTAGCCTGGTGTTTGCAAATGATTCTTAACGGGGTCACAGGGCAGGATGTTCAGCGCGTCGTTCTCCCCAGGACCAAGTACTCGGACAGCATCAGTGGGATGCTGGCGGTTTGTGCCATGACTGTGCACCGCGTGGGCCTGAAGGTGCCGCCTAACGAGTTGGATCCACGGGTGCCCATCATGTCCTGGAACACCTGCGCCTTCACCATCCAGGCCACTGGTAAGTCTCCCTGCCTCACACAGCACTCATATGGGTCACTTCCAGCCCCACTCTAAATGCTGTGAACCCCCCACAGAGAACATGCTGCAGGAGGAAGCCAAGCCACTGTTCGGCTCTCTGCAAAACAGACAAGTGAGTGTATGAGTGTGAGTGTGAGTGTGAGTGTGAGTGTGAGTGTGAGTGTGAGTGTGAGTGTGAGTGTGTGTGTGTGTGTGTGCCTCAGCCACCCCGACTGACCATGTTCCCTGCTTGTTCTGTGCACAGCTGGCTGGCTTGAAGGCCTTGGTTCATTTCTCAGCGGCCAATAGCCAGAAGCGCTCGCAGACTGTGATCCAGAAGCACTTTGCGCGCATGCTCACAGGTAGGATGCCGCTCGGCCGGCCATTCCGGCTCCCTTCTCTAATAGCTGCTGGTACCTCATGGTGAAGGAATTGTGACTGTCGTGTAGTAACTAGTAGTCTTGACACTGATATTCCCCTTTCCAGTGCTATTGCCCATCATGAATGTGGAAGTTACTCCCTGCCTCCTAGAAATAGACTGCTTTCATCTCCTGGTAGGATGGTCTTCCTTGTAGCTGATCTCTCATTAAAGATTCAGACCCAGAGTCTGTGTTAAATGTTCTGTGGGTTAAGTGTGTGGTTCCCCATAGGTGGGTTTGGTGCTGGCCATTCCGACCCTCTACCAGGAGACCATGGTGGACCTGCAGCCTTCAGCCATCAGTTCAGCCTACAACCATTTGCACCTCCTGCACCTGGTCACCACAGCACACATGGTGCAGGTGTTGCTGTCCTCCCAGGGTGAGCACTCAGATGTGTACAAAACAGTGAATAAAACACTAGTATAATGCAGAGACCTGTGCTTGTCCCGTTTTGTTTTGGCGTAGGAATCGGACCCCCTTGGGGCTATTGATTACTGCCACTTGAACTGCAGAAGATGACAAATAATATACTTGTATCTTTTATGGACTGAGGTTCAAATGGTCAGACAAACTAGGTATAGTGTGGGAGTGATCCCTGATTTCTTAGTGTTATCCTCTGTTCTTTAGACACACCGGGGATTATGGGAGGGGATGATGGAGAGGAGGTGAGGTTGACGTCAGATTTCCTCCAGGCTGTGACACACCATGCGGATGGGTGAGTAGTCCACTGGGTCTCATTTGCCCCCTAGT